ATTCTAGGGTATCATATATGTGGAGCCTGGACCAGAAGGGAGAGGACAGAACCAGGTCCTTCGGCCAGCCCATTGACCCCCTGATCCCTTGCTCTGAGAAGAGGGCGCAGTCCGAAGTGGGCCAAAGTGGCTCTCTAAAGTACAGGGCATAGGACAAGGCCACTGTTGTCTAGTCTAAGAGCATACAGAAAGTGCACCCAGAGGTAGAGGCACTTTGATTTTCTATGAGAAGATGGTTTTCCAGCTTCCCAGACAAGCCACACTCTCTTCCCATTGTTTGCCATCTTCTTGGCCTGTGGGCTGTTACTCAAGAAGGTCATACGGACAGGGCTTTATCTGGAGGCAGAAACCATAGGCTGTAGGCTTGGCTGTATTTACACGGGGGATGTAAATTCAACAAACCAATCTCCTCTGCACACACAAGGCTTTCTCAGCAATTTCCAACTTGTTTGCACCAACCCGAATGTAAACCCCAGGTTCTCCATGCTGCAGGCAATTACCCAGCAGAAGCTGGGTTTGGCAGATGAGGTTTAGAGGGGTCAGACTGAAAGCATGAATGCTTCCATCACACTCTAAAAACTAGTTTCCATTGAATAGGATTTCAGGATATTCTCTTGCTTAAATGCAAAAAAAAAAAAAAAAAAAAAATTACCCTTAAATATCCAAGTGCTAAGGGTAGCACCTAACTCAGTGTTGCTACTTAATAGCCACTGTCTTTCCCTTTCCTGAATGGGAGTTCTCAGATTTACAAAATGCTTTCACCTGCAGGTACCCAATCTCTAGGTTCACCAGAGTCCTTCTCGCCTTTGGAATACAAACAGAGTTCCCTGAATCTCTGAATTTTCATAGCTAGTAGAACCCCCAAAATCATCTCCCAAGATTTCAGTAACACACATGAGCAAATTTCCCAAGGTTCCTTTGCCTCTGGTCGCTGTGTTCCCATGTGGCATCTTATTAGACCCAAGGCATGCAGACCTCAGTCCCTTCTAGAACCCATAGGAGATCCAGGCACAGCAATCATCTTTGTTGTATTTTGAGGGCCTCGCTGGAGATCTAAAAGTCACTTGAGGAGTGATCCTATTGGGCTTCACCCAATGTTCTGCCATTTGTTCACCCTCACACCTCTCTTATTCTATCCGAGCCCCCAGTGGGTTTATTTTTCTCTTCCACTGGAATCTCAGCATAAGTGATGCTGAGGCCCCAAGAATGCGGCTTCTACCCCACACAAGTTTCCAAAGGCATTTCTCCAAGAAAGGCAATTCTCTCTAAGAGGAGTACCTACTGTTAGGCAAAGGAAATGTTCTCTCTCTTTACAGTTCATCTTATGCTCCTTAACAACCTTCTGAGACTAACACTATAATTTCCACTTTATAGATGAGGAGATGGAGGCTCAGCAATGACATGCCGTTGTCCAAGGTCACTCAGATAGTGAGTGCCAGAGTCTGGCTTCAAGCCACGATCTAATCAGCACCACTGTACTCGGGGCTCACTGTGACAGAGTATGGTTTTCAAGAGGATTGCTCAAGAGGGAACAAGTGGCTTTTCCTGTATCCCAACTTTCCCAGTCTGGAAGAGTCTCTTTGCTGTGTGGCAAGATCACAATATCCTTGTCTTCTTTAAAAAGATGCTCCTGTTTACTCCTTTAAGAGGAGCAGAAATGTGTGTATGTACATACCTCCAGAGGTGAGCTCCAGGGAGAATGGAGACCAGGGATCAAAAGGCCAGTGGTCAGCTTTGCACTAAATGTGTTTGCGTCACTGCACCACCCTCTCCCGCAGGTCCTAGGCTCCTGAGACCCAAGTCATTTTTGCCTTATACTATTTTGGCTTTCTCACAATATTCTCTTCAAGTCTCCCCAGACTTCTGATGCAGGCAACATGCCTCATGTTTATGTTCTTTCCCTGGTCTCAGTCTCCAGTGGCGTCAAGGTGCTGAGAAAACACAGGTTTTCGACTCTGGCAGACCTCAGATCTTATCTGTGCCTCTCACTCTGTGGCTTTAGGCCAATCATTTTGTCTCAAAGAGCTCTGGTTTCCTCTGGGACACAGCTAGTGATGCCTTCCTCCCAGGTAGTGAGATTTCCAAAATAGAGAGTGCAAATGATAACTTACAGAGATTTTTACTTTGCACACTACATGTGGGGTCAGGCAGACAAGTTCAAAACCCCACTTTGTCACCTGCTGGCCCTGCTACTCTGTACAAATTCCTGCACACTTCTGGACCTCTATTCATCTGTAATGTGGGGTGGGCCATCCTTCCTCCTCGGGTCATAAGATGGTTCAGAAGATAGAGCCCAGCACTTGTGGCTACGGCTCCGTCAATGGTGTTTTGTTTTTATAGTTTTGTTTGTGGGTTAAGGCCATAATGACGATCTCAAAAATTATATTTAACATGGGATGTGGTACATTTTAAGATATTCAATAAAATGTGGTCTTAATCTTGGGTTTAAATGGGTCTTAAGTGTTCCTCTTCTCCCTGCCTCAGGAGGGAGGTGAGAGCACCATGCGGGTGAGTGTTGTATTGGGGCTTGGCATCAGTTTGGAGAGCAAACCCAGGGGAGGAGTTTGCTCTGAAGAGGCCCTGAACAGGGGCAGTGGCTCCCTGCCAGGAGAGTTCTGGCACCTGGATAAGTAGACAGGCCCCAGCTAGGCAAGGCTGGTGGGGATGCTTGGGGCTTCCCAGGCAAGCCGTTTCTTGCTCTCTCTGTGCCTGTACATCTGCTCTCATTGCAGTCTGTACAACTGTGAAGTGTTTAGCCAGCAGCCGCAACCCCACCCAATCGTAATCCCCAACTACGGGGACCACACTTCACCTTCTGTTCCACAATAGGCCCTGAGCAACAGCTTGTTGAATGTCACATTCTCAGAGTCACCCATTTGATTTTGGGATGCTGGCTCTGCTTTGCATAAAGGATCTGTGAGCATGAGTAATTGGGCTGTAAGAGTGACCATGAATTCCTCAGTTGATCAGGGGCCAGGGCTGCCCACTATCCTCAACACCCTCACTCCTGCAGCCACGTGGGCACCTCTGTGCTGGCTCACCGGGTTCCCTGACATTCCTGTGGACTATGTTCCTTGGTAAGACTCTGACACAAGTTACAGGACATTTTCCCCAAAGGGACAGATCAACTAGACTCTGACACAAGTTACAGGACATTTTCCCCAAAGGGACAGATCAACTAGACTCTGACACAAGTTACAGGACATTTTCCCCATAGGGACGGATCAACTAGCACCAATAGCACCTCCTCTTTCTTATTGCTGCATTGGTGCAGAGGTAACCTTACCCCTCAATGCTCTGAGGGGATTGGAGCAATGATGGAACCCTACTCCATCATTTTGCATAAGGGTGCTCCCAGCACTGCCACTCACAAGGCATTCAAGGTAGACACAGCATACGGAACACTATTATTATTACTATTACATATATATTATTACTATTACTGCAAAATGAACAACACACCCCAGTTATCATACGTAGAGTGCTTATTAAGTTTGAATTCTAACTGCTTTACAAACATCTCATCGAATTTCCCCTTCCCCCTGCAATGAGGTTAGCTACTATTATTATCATCGTTTTACAAATGAAATAAAAAGTGGACCCAAAGAGGATACATAACTGGGCAAAGTCCTTTAGGGATGGGAAGAGGTACTGATTTAATCTCTAGCCTGTGCCTCACTCCTCCCAGATAAGAAAGTCTGACGCAAGAATTTCTGGGGTATCTATCACATGAGAAGTCATGTTTCTACCATAACAAATGCCTGAGCTAGGAGCCAGGCATGGTGGATGATGCCTGCAATCCCATCACTTTGGGAAGCCAAGGCAGGATGATTGATTGAGCCCAGGAGTTTGAGACCAGCCTGGGCAACATAGAGAGACCCCATATCTGAAAAGATAAAAATAAAAAAATTAGCCAAGCATGCTGTAGGCCCACCTATGTGTGAGGCTGAGGCTAGAGGATCATGATTGCTTGAGCCTAGGAGTTTGAGGCTGGGATGAGCTCTGATCATGCCACTGCACACCAGCCTAGGAGACAGAGTCAGACTCCCATCTCAAAGAAACAAAACAAGCCACTCCAAAAAACAAATGCCTAAACCTCAACATAAAATGAGCTTTACATGTGAGGGTTTTGAAAAACATCTTGTTTGTTATAACCTGTTTTATATAAGAAAAAAAATCTAATGTGCGTAAAGTATAAACAGAATATTTCTAATAAAATTAGACATGGACAATGTTATGTATGGTGATCTGAGACCAAGATCAACAGTAAGTGTGGAGTGGGAGACAGCATTAGGGTGAGAAGGCATGCTCAGATTTGCTTTTACAATGATGTTCCCAGAGGGGCCACTTAGGAAGAAAGTAGAGAGGAGACAAAGACGGGTGGAAGACTGTTGTAGGAGGTTAGGAAATGATGAACTGTGTTGTCAAGGAAAGGAGAGGAAATCCCAAAGCAGACTTAATGGGTCATGATGACTGCATGGATAAACTGGGTGTTGCGGGTTGAGGCTGTGACTCAGTTTCCAGCTTGTGCATCTGGATGTTGTTGGCTGAAGAGGAGAGGCTGACCTCCAAGGGTACAGGCTGTGGCTGAATTCAGTATAAGGAGGCAGGTCAGCTCTCAGCAGCCGTCTAAATAAGCATGTCCCAGAAGCGGAGAGTGTACTGTTTGTGGTACCAAGAAGGTTTTCAATGGCATTCTGATGCACCCTTAAGAATTTAACAATTTCACATTTATTTTTATGGTTAACATTTATTGATGACGTTTTCCTTTTATATATTTATACTTTCTATTAGCTGCATGTATTTAAATAAGACAAGGGAGATTGATTTAAAGAAAAAAGTTCTCTAAATTATATTGCATGTGTCAAAAATCATGATGGCAGTGATTGAATGGTGGAGATATGTTTAGAAAAACTGTGTTCCCTGTTTTAGCAGAACATGCACCCCAGCTTCCCGATGGTCTCTTCAGAGCCCTTGTTTCTTGCCTGCATGTCTTGCAGATCCGGTGCATGGCCCACAGAACGTGGAAATCGTAGACATCCGAGCCCGGCAGCTGACCCTGCAGTGGGAGCCCTTCGGCTACGCGGTGACCCGCTGCCATAGCTACAACCTCACCGTGCAGTACCAGTACGTGTTCAACCAGCAGCAGTACGAGGCCGAGGAGGTCATCCAGACCTCCTCCCACTACACCCTGCGAGGCCTGCGCCCCTTCATGACCATTCGCCTGCGACTCCTGCTGTCTAACCCCGAGGGCCGAATGGAGAGCGAGGAGCTAGTGGTGCAGACTGAGGAAGACGGTGAGCAAGGGAGGAAAGCTTACATGGGAATGGGGATATTGAATCTGTTCACAAGGCTGTGGCAGTCAGTTATGAGGCTTTTATTTTTCCTACATTTTTAATTCCCTCACACATACTTTTCTTTTCCAAGGTCTTCAGTGAAGGACTATGTAAACGGCATTGCACACCTCCAGGGCGTGCTTTTCCCATCACAGTGACAGCTCTGCCATAGACATGCACTCAGCTTTGGCCCTTTTGTACCCCCATCCCTCTTCTTGCTTTATACCAGTGTATTAGACTATTCTTACATTGCTATAAAGAAATACCTGCGGCCAGGTGCGGTGGCTCATGCGTGTAATCCCAGCACTTTGGGAGGCCGGAGCGGGTGGATTGCCTGAGCTCAGGAGTTTGAGACCAGCCTGGGTAACATGGTGAAACCCCGTCTCTACTGAAATACAAAACAATTAGCCAGGCATGGCAGCATGTGCCTGTAATCCCAGCTACGCAGGAGGCTGAGGCCGGAGAATTGCTTGAACCCAGGAGGCAGAGGTTGCAGTGAGCCGAGATTGTACCACTGCACTCCAGCCTAGGCAACAGAGTGAGATTTTTTCTCTACAAGAAAAACAAACAAACAAACAAACAAAAAACCACCTGAGACTGGGTAATTTACAACGAAAGGAGGTTTAATTGGCTCACAGTTCTGCAGGCTGTTCAGAAAGCATAGCACTGACATAGCTTGGCTTCTGGGGAGGCTGAGGAGCGTTTACTCATGGTGGAAGGCGAAGTAGGAGCAGGCACACCACGTGGCCAAAGCAGGCACAAGAGAGAGATTGGTGGTATGGTGCCACACACTCAACCAGATCTCTGGGGAATTCACTCACTGGCATGAAGACAGCACCAACCCATGAGGGATCCACTTCCATGATCCAGTCATACCTCCAGCATTGAAGATCACATTCAACGTGAGATTTGGGAGGGCACAGATACCCAAACTGTATCAACCACCTTCTCTGTCCAAGGTTTGACTGCACTGGTGCCTCCAGAAAGAGAAAACATGTATCACGTTGTTTAAACATGTTGAATTTGGTAGTCAGACAATGCTGAATTATGTCAGAATTAAAAACAGAAAATACATATAAAAAGCTTAGCATACACATTGGATGCACCCAGGACTGAATATTCACCTGGCTGGATGACAGTCATCTCAAACTCAAGGTATCTGAAAATGAACTTATCTCCAATTCGATACTGACTTTCCCTGTGTTCCTCAACTCAATGAACTGCACCTAGTAACTCAAGATAGAGACCTGAAAGTCAGCCTGGGAGCCTCCATGTTTCCCTCCCCAACCCACCCCACCTCCATACCCCACAAGTTTCTAATGGGTGTGCTTCCTGCAGTTTATCTTCCTCATAACTTGAGACTCCAAGAACCCAGAGCCACTACTGCTAAAACACAGAACTTTTCCTGCCTCTCTGTCCTTACCCATGCCATTTCTCTTGCTTGGAATGACCTCTCCTCCATGTTTGCAAGGAAACCTCTATTGACCTTTCAAGTCTGCTCAGATGTTACTTCCTCCAGGAAGCTTTCCTTGATTGCCACAGATTGACTTGGATGTTTCTTCCCAGGTTCACTGCAGTTACTTTAGTGATAGCATAGAATTTGCCAGTTCCAGGACTTACCTAAGAAACACTTCCCCATGACCATATTTCAGTTTCCCCTCCAGCCAGCCCAGGCTGCCCCTTGCCTTGTGGGATGGCTTTAGATAGTTCCCGAGAATCAGACTCAGATGAAGATTCGTGTGCAAGTGACTGACTAAGAAAGTTTTCCCAGGGCAGACTGGGAGGGGAGTGAGGGAAGTGGGATAAGGAAGGGGAGAAAGTCAAGGTGCAACTTTTGGCCAAGTCCAGCAAAAACTGGCTGCAACCTGAGCCTTCGGGGAACTGTTCAGGGTGGGCCATGCATCACAGGTGTCCTAAGTTAGCCAAGGAAGCTGTCAGCCAACAGTTAGGGTCTGGGATGGGGAGGAGAGATTCAGAGGTAAAATTTTAGTAACTTGTCTTTCTGCACATGCAGGTAAAGAATAGAGGCTCACAAAAATGGTATACAGAGATCTGAAAGGTCTAGCCAGAGCACTGGCATTGTCAGTTGCATAAAGAAAATACCCAACTTGACTCAGATTAGCCTTAGAACTTGAAGACAGCACCTCTGCTGTGGCAATTCTGTTTAGTACTTGTTTTCTTTTTTTCATTTACTTTTTTTTCTTTCTTTGTGTGTTCCTGGGATCCAGTAGGATCTAGTACTCTTGCTTCATGTAAGCAAGTTCTAAATACCTCAGAGTTATGACCCTGAGTAGAACCCAGATTCACATTCTCAGCTGCAAAATCTCATGAGAAGATAAGGGAAATAGTGCCAGCCTCTTCTTACCTTGCCCCTAATGCTCACTTCCACCATGTCCCATCCTAGAGCTGGAAGTCTTACACAGTCTACTTTCATGATCCATCCCTCCGGTTCATCCTCATAGCCATCCTCTTTGCAGACCCCACACACTGGACTTTGGGGTCATCCTTGGAGTAGACTGTGTAAAACTTCTAGGAAGATTTCCCTAGACTTGACTTCATTGTTTCAGAAATGTGTAGCCCCTTCCTCCAGCATGTAGAATTGTTCACTGTTAGACAATGTACACTGTGGAGCCAAGCATGCCTGGACAAGTTGTGTAACCTCTTAGTGACTTGGTTTCCTCATCTATAAAATGGAATTAGTTGGCCAGGCATGGTGGCTCACCCCGTAATCCCAGCACTTTGGGAGGCTGAGGCAGGCAGATCACAAGGTCAGGAGATCGAGACCATCCTGGCTAACATGGTGAAACCCCATCTCTCCTAAAAATACAAAAAATTAGCTGGACATGATGGCACGTACCTGTAGTCCCAGCTACTCAGGAGGCTGAGGCAGGAGAGTCGCTTGAACCCAGGAGGTGGAGGTTGCAGTGAGCTGAGATCGCACCACTGTACTCCAGCCTGGGTGACAGAGCGAGACTCCATCTCAAACAGAAAAGGAATAATTAAAGTACCTATCTTATAGATTCTCATGCACATAAAGTGGGATGATATATAAAGAAATTGGACTAACACCCAGCATATTATAAGGTACTACATTTTTGGTGAACCGTGGGAAATTAAAAAAAGGAATTCTTCACAAAGGAGCATCTAGCCCCGGCAACTGAGAAACTGCCCAACTCCCCTAGGAAACCTCTTCAGAGCTCTAGACAGGTCCAGACATCTAGAAATCTAATTGGTTGTAGGAAATACACTGTAGACACTCAAAAAGTGGCACTGTGCTTGGTGCCTGATATGAGAAACAGAGTCAGGGCAAAAGGGTGGTTCAGTGACTGATACTCACAGGGAATTCCTGGTTGTTTGAGAGGGAGAAGTCACTGCTGAAAATCAGCATGAAAATTCAGGACTCAGGAGATGAACAATAAGGTTTTCCCAAGGAGCGACTCAGGGCACCTTTTTAAAGATGCTCTGCCCACCTTGAGCTGCTCTTTGAGGATTACCTCCCTGTGCCTCAGCAAACCCCAAGTCCAGCTTTAAGATGTTCCTTAACTTGTCTCTCTCTTCTTCCTGTCACCAAGAAAAAAAGGCTTTATCAAAACAACATGAGAGCAGGAATGCTTTGAAATTAAATTTTAATTAAACATCATTAATAAAACATCAATTCCTGCTCTATGGAGATGTGTGGACATTATCATACTAAAAACACCAACATGCAAGACACAATTCCTCAGTTCTGTAACTATGCTGAGGCTCTGCCTCAAAACCCACTGGACTGAAGGAAGGTCTCAGTGTAGAACCCCACTGTATGCCAGGGTTAGGTTCCATTCTCCCTAAAGAGGGAGGAAGCACCATTTCTGTTGACTGGGTAACTCATTCACCTCAAGGACAAGATGAGGCTGTAGCATGGCTCTAGTGGATTAACTGAAACCCCCCTCCAGGAGCCAGGAAGCAACCTTTAGGATTGAGTTGGCTGAATGGCTGAATTCATGCTGCTGTCATCCGTGCCACAAAAATTGTCTTCTGAGGAATTATTTGTAGAATTTGTAATTTCAGCACCTCAGTGCATTTGAGGGCCTGCAAAGAAATCCAGCACTAGAGAGGCTCATGGCTGCTGAGCCCTATGGCTTCATTTGGGTAGCAGCTGTTCATAAGAGACTAAATCGATTCTTTATTTTTCCCTTTTCCACAAATGTCTCAGACAAAACCACAGTTCGCTTTGCACCTCGAAAGATGAAAACCATGTTGATGGTTTTGCTTGGCAGCTCACTTTGGCTGCTATTTATTGAGCACCTACACTGGGCTAAGCATGGATAGACATGTTATATACAACGACTCCTGTGCTCCTTTTGCCCAATATTTTATTGTGAAATTTTTCAAGGCTAGAAAAATTGAAAGAATAGTACAAAGGAGACTTATAAACTTCTCATCTAGATTCAACATTTGTAAACACTTTGCTGCATTTACTAGTGTGTGTATCTTACATCTACATGATAGATGATGTATGCTATGTAAATGTATTTATGAATACATACAATATTTTAACCATTTGAAAGTAAATTGCAGAAATCATGACAGTTGATTTCTAAACCCTTTAGCATACATGACCTAAAAATAAGAACTTTCTGCTACATACCCACAATGCTATTTAACCTCTAATAAATTTTGCATTAATTTTAAAATTATGTAATATACAGTTTGTTTACATTTTTAATAATATTCAGCCTGATTCTGTGGACAAAACCAGGGTTCAGGATATTTTTGGCAAAACTATTACATTGGTGATACATATTTCTTATTGTATTTTGTCAAGAAGTTCGTAATGTCAGGGAGCCCCAGTACTGATGATGCCACATATGGTCACTTAGATAAGACAAGAACTACCTGGTCCCTCCACTGTACATGTAGCACCTTTTTTCTTTTGTAAAGTATCCTTGAAGTGAAACTTTGAGTTGAAATGAGTATTGTAT